GAACGTCACGGTCTGTGCGCAGGAAACGAGCAGATGTCGCCTTCAAAGTTAAAGCATCAACACTGGTGGCAGCAAACAAGGCAAGTCACTGAAGTGTTCAACGTCGGTGTCTGTTGTAGTCAGTGTTACCTTTAACACTATAGCACGTTATATCTAGTTTATATTTGTATTTTACTGCTATGACTGAGCGAAGTTTCGACGTGTGCGCCAAATCAGCGCTTTTAATTTGACAGTTCTGGCGGAAATCCAATGTCTCATTGCGACTCGACGAGGATGCTGTCTTTTCTGTTACGTTACCGTACGGCCCCAGCGGTTTTTGCAGATGTTTAACAAAGCACTTCCTGCTGCCTCGGTGAAAACAGTGTCTGCCCTCGCTAATAAAGACGACGTTTCTATAAAAAACATTCTAACGTCCCAATTATGCGCTTAGTTCTAAATGAAAGCCAAGATATTCCAGACTGAACAAAGATCTACTTACACAGTGGTCCCTCCTCCGATATTTGTCAACAGAGCTGTTTCAGCTTTACGCATGCGCCACAGTAGATCAAGTCGGCTGGTTCCAGATCAGTAACAGCTACATACAAATAACTACACTTCCGTTAAAAATGAGTCTATGTTACACAACTTCCAAAGATATATTTGCGTCACTATTCAGAGTAAATTGGTACATTTGACTGCATTCATGATAGAGGACCTCACGGAAGACCTAAGGTGTACCAGCTTGGCACAGGTAACCTGAAAGTGTGTGCTCTGCGGCCAGGAGGGTTCACTGTTCAGCCAGAGCGTGTGGAGGCGTCTGTGGGGTGTCCCTCGGTCACTTCAGTGTTGCCTTTATCCTTCAATGACTTCACTACATCCGCAGAGGGTCAACATTCAAAATAAACAATGACAGAAATCAACATGGGTCTCCAGCATTCTAGCGGAAATGCCGTTTTAGTTGCAATAAAAATGCATTATTATTATTATTCTTGTAGTTATTACTCGATGTAATACTAAGCGTGATGCATCATGAACGTGTTCAAACGAAAAATAGATGAGTGCTCGGGCCAGGCGAGGTAAAAACGCTGGACAGCGCCCGTGGTTCGAACCCTCTGACGAAGGCTGGGAGAGCTTTCTGTTGCTGAGAAGTAACCACTGAGCTAAACCAGCGCGGGAGCAACAGTGGGAAAAGAGCCCTTTAAAGGCGTCTGTGTGTGGCGAAGAGTCCTGTCGTGTCATATCTGACCGACTGACAACTTAAAACACTCATAAATATCCGATTGCCTGAAGGCCTTATGATCTTCCACACTACGCACTTGAAAAGGCGATGATCACCTCTTTTGTTGAGTGTTTTAATCAACCTTGTTACATCTGTGTTGTTTCCGGTAAATAATGTTTGTTATGCTAACTTAAGAGCTGCTAAAACAGACCGGGAACACTAAAGTAGGGGCACAGATCGTGCAAAAACTGGAGAGTTAAGCTTAAGGAGTCACTTCCTCGTCCACTGTGAGTGGGAGAAAAATAGATGTAAAACACTGGACAGCGCCCGTGGTTCGATCCCTCTTACGAGAGTAAAGCGGTTCAAA